ATGCTGTTTACGTATTTACCAAAGAAACATGGACGAGAAAAGTAAAACAAAGGATGATTTCGAGATTATTCTATTATTACACTCTGATGACCTTGAATGACCTTGCGCCATAAATCGTTGGGCTTATCTCAAAGCTCACTATCACTCTATAGAACGCCATTCGTAATATTCTGTTCAGACCAACAACATTGAAATACACTTCAATTCTTCACCGACTAAATCGTTATTCTGTTTCTTTTTAATAATCATCTAACAATTAAACATTTAGATTGATACCGTTCAAGCATTCAGTTGCACAACAATACGTGAAACAAAAAAATAAAATGTTCATAGAAAATCGAAAGAGTGAACTTTATTAAATTTTTATTTTCGTATTAAAAATTGATAAAGTATAAAAGTGGTGAAATTAAAACATTTATTATTTGTGTTATCACACCCGAATCACCCGGTATATTTATGAATGAAACTCATACATGAAACTCATAACAGAGACCGTGAGAATTTCGTGCGATTTTCAAAATCAACAATAATTCTTCGATGGAAACTGTTGAAACAACTGATTCGGCTTCACGAAATGTAACACCGGTAAAACGAAAAAGGAGATAGATCAATCTGATTCAGTATTATCCAATATTAATACTGGGATCAAGAATTGATGAAATGAGTTTTAATTAAAATTTTCCCTTAATATATATTTTACTTTAAATTTTTTATTATTTCGTGACGACTTTTATGCATAGAAAGTGCGCAAATTTTTACCCTTAATTACAATCCACTACCGTTTCAATATTATAACAGAAAGATACTTGTAATTAAATGTGTAATGATTTAGGAAATGCTTTATTTATCTTAAACAGTAAGGTATGACAAGTTGCAACAGGAAATAATAATATAACAATTCAGGCATGATTACTGAAGCGTTTGTTTACGCGAGTATTCGATTATCAAGATTTAATTGAAGGATTGTTTATGGAAATAACATTGCGCTGTCCCAGATAATACCGTATAACTTTCAACCTGTTAATTCGTGTTGAAACGATTCGAAAAATGGTTACAAAAAAGGAAACCGCAGATGAAGATATAATATATGTTTACAATTGAAATTCTTTTTATGGACTATACAATTTAATAAACCGATTATGTGATGTCGTAATATTTTTTGGAATATTCCAATATCAAAAGATCATGGTTACATAGTGAACAGTCGAAATTCTGTTCTGTTTGCAAAGAAAGTCCGGATCGGCCAACAATTATTGCCTTCTGACTCACGTGTTTGTACACACGGTCTTCGTGCTCTTATGTAGTTTCCATTACCCATAAGCAATATTTAGGCGATCATTAATAAATTTTACTCTCATACGACGGGATTAATATTTTCTTCTGACTCACGATGCGGTAACATTAGAAACTAGAGTGATTTATAAAGAATAAAATATAAAAGAATCAAATATTCAACACTT